GGGGCCAGGCTGGACCAGAGTTCAGCCTCCCCGCCTGTGGCTGGGCCCTCTGGGGAGAGCGCCCCTCGGTGATGGCCTCGGTGCCCTCTCGGAGGAGACAGTCTCTGAGGGCCCAGCGGCCGGAGGCCAAGGCAGGGATTTCTTTTTAAGGGTGTGTCCACTGTGCCGGGCACATCAGGGGCTTGGCTTTGAACCGGCGTTTGGAAGATTTTCTTACCTTGTGTAGTAGGCTGGAGTGGTTGAGGGGGTGATGGGTAGCTGTGAGCATCTTGGAAAGGTCTGAGTCCCCGCCTAAGCTCCTGGGTGCCTAGGCTGTCTGGAGCTGTGATTGCCTGTCCACTTTCTCCCACAGCGAGGCTTGGCTTTTCGCTTTGTTAATGGTCTCATGTACAGCACAAGTTTTCAATGTTTATGTAATCCAAGGTATCTAGTCTAATTATGGCCAGGCTCTTTGTGTCAAAATACACGCAAATCTCATCTCCACTAAAATGTTGAGGTCAGTTGCCCATTTGGAAATTGGACTTTTTATTATTTGCATGATTACTTTACACATTTGAATACCAATCCCATGTCAAATAATTATCTTCTTTTTATTGTTTTCTGTGGGTCTGTGGCTTTGTGTTTTCATCTTCTCCTATATAGTGACTTTTGAAGAACAGACATTTGTGACCTACCTAAAAAAAATCTTTGCCTAAGTCAGGGTCAAAAGTACTTTTTATCCTGTTTTCTCTTTGAAGTTTTATATTTCTCAGTTTTCCATTTATGATTTATTTAGATTTTGGTAGCTACTGTGAGAGAAGGGTTAAGGGGTTTACTTTTTGTTTGTTTGCATTGAATATCAAATTTTTCTAGCACCATTTGTTGAGAAAAATCCTTCACTGGTTTACTTTGGCACATTTGTCTCAAATCAATTGACTATATATGTATATATATATGTAGTCTGTCTGAGTGTGTATCTATTCCTGGGCTTTCAGTTCTGTTCAATATTTTTTGAAGGCTTTTTAAAAAAAATTTATTTATTAATTTATGCATACAGAACTGGGGTGCAGGCCAGAAGTGCAGAGGCAGTGAGAGCATTCACCAGAGACAGAGTGGGGAGCAGAACAGGCTGACGGACAAGTACACTGCTGAGGGGAGCAGCAGGCGGGTCAGGAGAGGTCTGCCGGGCCATGTGGATCACCCCCACGGTGGGGATTGAACTCATGCTAAAGTGGGCTTAGCTTCTTAGTGCTGTGCTTTAACCCTCTGCGCCACCAGGGAGGGCCCTGAAGGATTTTTTAAAGGATTTATTTATTTATGCATACAGAACTGGGGTATAGGCCAGAGGTGCAGGGGCAGTGAGAGGCTTCACCACAGACAGAGCAGGGAGTAGAACAGGCTTGACTAAGTACACTGCTGAGGGAGCAGCAGGCGAGGCAGCAGAGGTCTGCTGTGCCATGTGGGTCAGCTCCTTGGTCAGGAATTGAGCTGCTGAAGCTGCTTTGGCTTGGTAGTGCTGTGCTTTAACTGGCGGCGCCACCAGGGAGGGCCCAACATTTAGAAGGATTTAAAGCACACAAAGGATTTTATTCATGTTCTCTAAGAAGCAGCTTTTGTTTAATTTTCATTGGTCTAGTTTATATTTTATCATTTTCTGCTCTTATACTTAGTATTTCCTTTGGATCTAATCTCTACCTAGTTTCTAAGGTAGAAACTAACCCACTGATTTAAACCTTTTGTCTTTTCTAACAAAAGTATTTGAAACTACAACTTTTCCCCAAGTATTCCTTTATCAGCAGCCAAACTTTGACATATGGCATTTTAACTTTCAACTAGCTCAAAATGCTTTCTGATTTTCCTTTTGATTTCTTCTTTGACCCCTGGGTTATTTAGAAGTGTGTCATTTTCAAATATTTGGAGATTTTCTGTTTTTTTATTTTTCTACTGTAGTTTCCATTTCAAATTCAGTTGGTCAGAAGATATCCTTTAAAATCCTTTTAAGTTTATTGATGATAGAGTATATGGTTTATATTGGTGAATGGTCCATGTGGCCTTGAGAAGTTTACATATACTTCTGCTGGAATGAATGATCTATAGAAGTCAATTGGGTCAAGTTGGTTGATAGTAACGATCAAGTAACTCAAGGACTCCCTTGGGACCCTGCACCCTGGCTTTGTGTGTCAGGCACGTGTTGATGCTCACAGTATCTTTGGCAGTCAAGCACTGTAGACTCGAGAGAGCTCTGTCAGTGTGGACCTTGCAAGGGTTCCGTGCACCAGTGCCTGACTCCTTCACCACCAATGGAATGTTACATAATTTATGTGTAAAAATGAACTTTGATTGAGCTGAGCCATTGAGATTCTGGAGTTTGCCCGTTATTGCAGCTAACAGTTACTCTAACTAATAGAATCAATGGCATCTAATTTGAATTATAAAGTTTAATTTCCACTTTAGGGACCTGAAGCAAAGCTCGTGGGGGAGGGGAGGGCAAGAGGGCAGCTCCTCAAGGAATCACAGGAGGTGCTAGTGCGTCAGCTGTCAGTTTGGGGTCACGGTAAAGCATGGACAGCAGTGTTCCACCCTCCCCACAGAACACCCTGAGAACAGAACGTTAAGAGTATTCACATTTTATTACTTACAAAACATTACCTTGAAATGTAAACTACCTCATGGACCCAAAATCTCTGCAAGCATCAGGTTCTGGGAAACCTTAAAACAAATTGTTTTCTGGAAGAAAATACTAAGACCTGTTAAAATCCCCTGCACAGGGAAGAGAATTTCCCTCGGAGATGTTCTTGCACTCATTTGCCTACTTCCAGATGAATAAAACTAAGGTCTTTCTTTTCTTTTCTTTTTTTGCTTCTTCCAAAAAATATAACTTAATACATAACATTTACAACATGAAAAATAATCCTAGAGTATATTCATGAATAATAACAAGAAGAGTCATGTGTGTGACAGGTGCAGTAAAGAAGGGCTCCCTTTCCTTTTGGGTGGGGGAGAGCCATGCCAGAGCCAGTCTTTGGGCTCACCCAGGGCTGCGCTGGTATTGGAAGGAAATCACTGGCAAAGCAATTGATTTGCTCTATTTTGGCTTTCTTGGTTTAGAATAATATTTGCAAGCACTATAACATCCCAAGGGTAACGATGAAGAGATTTATAATTCAGTCTGGGAAGGCTTAGAGAAGCTGCCAAAGTACTCTGAGACAGCGGGTATGTGGGTTTAAATTCTGCCACTTACCTTCAGAGCTTAGAAATGGGTGGGTGGTAGTTGTGGGAGCTATCTCTGACACTGTTTTATAGGGAGACATGGAGAGGAGCAGATGAAGCGAGCCTCTGGTGGGCCGGGAGAGCGGGACTCACACTCCAGGCCAGGGAAGGGGTGACCAGGGAAGGGGAGAGCTCTCTGTACCCTCAGGAGAGCTGCCGGCTGGCCCCGACCCGCAAACAGGAGCTGAACTGTCCCGGGCAAAGGCATTGCCAGGGTTCCCTGAAAATGCACAGGATATTAAGAAAGCGAGCCGTGGACAACACACCAATGCGAAAAAGCTGACCCAGCCAGTCCAAGGAGAGAGCTGGGTGCGGTGAGAACAGATCCGGGTCCCAGCCCCAGCCCCACCACTCCGCTACTGGACCACCTCAGACTCCTTCTGATGCTCCAAATTCTTGTCACAGGACCGGGCATCACAAGCCTGTCCCTGCTCGTGGAAGTTGGAGGAAGTGATTCTATACGCTCCAGTTGTCTGGATCTGATAACAACTCTTTCTCTGAGAAGAAGAGAACGTACTATCTAATTTTCAATTCTGCTGCATCCTAAGAAAAGATTGCAAACGAGTCTACAATCAAAACTTAATTCCCTCTTGGTACAGCAGCTTTCCTTGGGCTGTGGGGGAGGGGGGTAAAGTGGCTGGCAGCCGGGAGGTGCACCACTGGAGAGTTCAGTTAACAGAGGGTGAGCAGAGCACGGATGGGGCAGCGCTGCAGAGGCTGAGAGAGACTCAGAGGCAGTCAGGGTATTTGCGTGTCTGTGTCCCTTGCCTCCTCCATGGCCACATCTCTATTGTTTGTCTACGCTACTGGTATTTCGATCTTTAAGTGTCTTTTCCTGCCCAAATGTTTTCATTGTTGAAGGGAATTCACCTGTTTTGCCTTTGCTCCTGCAGATGTCACACACAGCCCTTTTGTTTCAGAAACAAGGCCACTCCCAGTGGGTTTTCAGGGTGAATCCTACAGCTGCTTCCATCCCAAACTCGAGGGCCGCGAGCATGGAGGGGAGCTGCTGTGCCTGCTAGGCCTGGCCCAGACCAGTTCCTGGCCTCCCCCCGGCCCTGCTAAGGAGGCTGCAGAGGCTCCCCGGTGCTGGAAGCCCTTGGTGGGGGTCTCTCCCCGTCTGAGGGTGGCAGGGCTTGGCCCATCTGCCCCTGGGCTGCTCTGTTGCTGGGCTGCAGCTGCTGAAGGCGCTGCCAGGAGTCCCATGCCTTAGTCTCACTATAACCCAGGTCTTTTCTTTTTTTTTTTAAACCACCAAGCTTTTCTCTAACCAAAGAGAATGCTAATATCCCACAATTGCAGCCTTTTCTGGGCACTAGAAGAATTGAGACTTTCTCTTCTAATAATAATGAGAATTTGTTCTGAGCCTTTGCGATAAGGAAGGAGAAAGAAAATCATTCCTAGAGGCAGGAAGAGCAGAAAATCATTTCAACAAAAGGCACAGACTTCTCATTACACATTATTATGCTTTCAAATGAGCATTTCCACAAGCCCATTGTTTGGTTCAAAATGAAGTGGCTCTTAAGTCTTAGATTTCTGTCTCAGCCATGTCATGTTTTAGGAAGAAAAATCTGACCTGCGGAAGCTGGTGGATGAGGTCTTTGTCCTGGGCCCCAGGACAAGGCAAGCGGCTCGTGTGGCTCCTGGTGCCGAGTTTGCCACATGCTGTCTTTGGAGGGGAGGGTGATGCATGGACCTCTTATCAGGAGGCATCCTCACTGACTTAGTATTACCCCCACCGCAGAAGGGAAAAGCTGCGATAGATATCCTGTGCAGAAACCTGTATGGAATGTGATGTAGTAAGTTCCTTGGTGTCCTCTGAACAATGCAATAACTTCATCCATGAGACAGTTGCAAAGTTAGACTCATGGGACTCCAAAGATAAATTTCACAGATTCCCTCCACTCCCTTTATTAATCAAAAAAACCCCACACCTTTTAGTAGCATCTAAAATGCAGGGAAAGACCAAAGCAGCAGGAAGTGCCTGGCTTCTGCAAGGGCAGAGTCCTGGTAAAGAATCAGCACTAATTTGCTGAGTGTTTGAACAGCACCCGGAGGCCCCGGTGGCCCTGAATTAGCAGAGCTTGTGTGTGTGTGTGTGGGGGGGGGGGGTGAAAGTGGAGCGTCTGTGAGTTGGGCAGCCACCGAACTTGGCCGTGAGCCGAACAGGCTCTGGAGCCTTAGCAGTTCAGTCACCCATTCTCCTGGTGACCACGCGCAAACTAGAGGCCCCTCCACACCTCATAGAAAAAAGGGGGCGGGGGGGGCAGGGCCCACCGGGCCCTCTGGCAACTGGTGTTGTACCAGGGCCCAATATAAAGAAGAAAACTTGATACCTGCACATTTTTTTTGACAGTTTGAAAAAACAACATTGTCTGTTTTTCTCTTTGCTTCTCTCTTCCTTGCTTTCCTCAGCCGCTTCTCCTTTCTATACCCCATCTTAGCACTGCTGCCTCATGCTCCTCTAGGGCTGAAGCATCAGCGGGAGATGCGTGCTACTGGAAAAGGGGGCCCCTCTGGGCAGCCATGAGTCACACGCAGGCTCTGCACCTCCTGCTCACCACTGACAGGCTCAGCCCTGTCCTCAGATTCCCCTTTCTTCATGCCTAAGCACATACCTCCTATGCTCTTGTCTCTAGTAACAGACACGTTGGAGATGGAGTCCACTCTCTTCCCCGCTGATGAAATGAGGCTTTGGGCAGCTTCTCTCTCCTGAGTTCTCAGTCCTCCACGCTGAGACTATGCTACCTTTCTCTTGTCTGATCCACCTCCAGTCTCTTACCTTCTGGCTCATTTCTGCTGGACATCTTAAGCCATCTCCCCTCCTCCAATTCTCTCGCTTCCCAATGGCAGAAATTGGAGTCCTGACAGTGTCAAATGTCCCTCCTTTGAAAAAAACACCATCTGCGCCATTTACTCCGACAAAGAAAATCACTCCCACAGAAAAGAAAGCCACTTCACTTGTGGCACGTTTGCAAAGGCCTTTCGTCACACAGAAGGTCCTTCATCCTGAACGTCGGTGACCTAACAATCACCCCCCACTCTCGAGTTTCCCAACCGCCATCCCACAGATCCCCATGTGACCTTGGATTCCAGGCTTCCCTGACCCACATGGCAAACTGCAAGCTAGCTCTATGCTCAGATAAGTCCCTCTGGAACCACGTGGTCACCGGCGATGGCCTGATCTGGTTTCCGCCTAGTAAGTGCCACTGGGAGGCAGAAGGCAGACCAGGGACAGGCAGGAAGACCAGACTCCATGTTCTTATAGTGATAATTTTGGGTTTATAGCAAACCATTCAGGGCTGGCCCCAACCGACTCTCATCCTCTGAATTTTGAGGTCTGTCCAGTTGATGTGTGTGTGTGTGTGTACGCTCGTATCATGGGTTAGTGTCATGGTTTAGCTTTCTCTTTGCACTAAAACTCTCCCGCACAGCGCAGCCTCATGATGGATGGTGATTGCTTTTTGTGGTGCCTAACACATTGCTTTCCACTCAGTGGATATTGTTACCTGACTTCCATGCCAACCCTGGGGAGTCTAGATTCACAGAGGAATAGAACCTTCTTACAAAGTCTGGAGTATGATTGCAATTTTACTTTTGAAGGACCCGCTTCCCAGAGGAGTAGCCGGTGATGGATGCCACTGTCAGGAACCCAGATGCACACACTCGTACGTCAGCGGGAAATTACACAAGCAGCTCGCCCAGCAGCCCCGCGCTGACTCACCACGTGCCCCAGGGGGAGAGGTGACAGGAAGCCCTGAGCAACAGCAGGGGACAGACAAAAGGAAGGCGTGACAAGAGGACTGGACTCGGGAAGGTCCGCCCAGCGCTTCCCTCTTCATCTTCTTCAGAGGGCGGCAGCCACAGGCCTAGTGAGGTCCATAGTCCCGTCGCTGTGTGACCAGGGTCGTGAGACTTGCTAGGAGGCAGCTGTCTGGGCGTGTAGGGTTCGCTGTGTCCGGGCGGTGCACAGGGCCCGAGCGCGCCATCCCACACCACGCCTGTGCTCACACACAACCCACCGTGTCCACCTTTTCCTTCAGGGTGGTTGGGGCCCACCAAGGCTAAGTTCACATAGATGACATTTGTCTCTTTGGAGGCAAGTCTGTGTTGATACCAGCAGGATGGGGCAGCAGAGACTGGTTGGTTGTTAAGATGGTTGAAAAATAAGGATACTGATAGCACAAAGGAGTGGAAAGCCAGCCAGCAGGTCCGCTGGTGGCTGCTGAGAGTGAGGCAGGTTCATCGGTAGCGGCAGGCCAAAGCATTGACATTCTTGACCACATAAAAGCCCATGGTGACCGGGGGGATGACCAATGTCCGGCCGGCCCGCAGGGGGCGGGGCTTCAGTTCTGGGAGGGTGCCATCGTCCACCATCACTAAGGGCTGGCCATTCAGCTGCACTGACCTGCGCGAGGGAAAACAGCAGGGGCTTGTTACTGAGTTGGAAGGGAGCCACCACACCGGCAGCCCCCAGGGCCTGCCAGTCTGATGCGGGCTGACGTGACCGACCTGGCTGTGCCCGGAGCCCTCCCCCGGGTGCTTTCTCCAACAGTGCAGTCCGGCCTTCAGCTGCACGCTGAAGAAACGGCTGTCTCGTTCCCATTCTCCCCAGCGGGGCTAGGGGATTTGCCAAGGTCACCCAGCCGGGAGCCAGGCTTGGGCACAGGAAGGCTAGTCCCAGAGACACGTCATGCAGGTAGGTAGAAGGGTCGGCCACGCAGAGGCTGAAGGTGTCCCGTGCCTATTCTTGTGGCGTGTTAAGTCACAATAGCAGTTCAGTTTGGCTTTTCTACTAGAGTTTTTTTTTTTTTTAAAGATTTATTTATTTATTCATATGTACAGAACTGGGGTACAGACCAGAGATGCAGAGGGTGAGAGGATTCACCAGAGACAGAGTGGGGAGCAGAACAGGCAGATGGATGAAGTAGACTGCTGAGGGGAGCAGCGGGTGGGTCAGGAGAGGTCTGCCACGTCATGTGGTCACCTCCGGGGCAGGCGGGAATCGAACTCATGCGGAGGTGGCTTAAGCTTCTTAGTGCTGTGCTTTAACCTGCTGCGCCACCAGGGAGGGCCCGCTACTAAAGAGTTTTTAACCTGCGGATCGATACATAGACTTAAGATGACTGCAGATTTCCTATTTAACTTGTTTCTTTCATAAATTTATTTGACAGATTTGAGACTTGACATTATTCCCTGTCTGTTCGGAAGAGGACAGAGACATCTCACCACTCTCCCTTTCTAATCTAAGAAGGAGTTTTCACATGCAATATTTAACAGATGATTTCATTTAAGCAAAGGAGGTGAGAAGGCAGGCAGCTGTGATCAAGTTCCCCCATCCTGCTCACTTTCCTCGTCCTATGCCCAGCACCGTCAGCCCTGAGACGGGGTCACCTCCACCACACACTTAGAGAAGGGAGCCACTCTGCCCACCACTGCCTGTGGTACAGATGATGGAGACCTTCCCAGTTGTTCCTGACTGGGGAGTGACTCATACAGCCAAGTACCCAAGGTGACGTTCAGTTTTATACAGCAGTAGAAAAGACCAGCACCAGGCTACCAGCTGGAAGCCAGGCTGAGTCACCCTCAGAGAATCAACATTGCTTAGTGATGACTGTTTCTGGGCTTGACCCAACTTCCCATCTGATAACATTGCAGTGATATCATCTGAGCTCGAAAGAGAATAAAATGTTAGAGATTGATATAGAGAGCTTCACTTAGGGTTTCTCCTGGGCTGTGAATGATAGACAGGCGCAGAGAGAATCAGCAAAGCCAGGCAGGGCAGTGAATTCCCAAGCTCAGTGTCTGGTGAATTGCTCCCAATGGAGAGCGAGGCAGAGAAACGGCTCCAGGCCTGGCTCTAAGTGGATAAGGCTGGTTCCAGTCCAGATCCAACATGCCAGTGGCGGCAAGCCCCTCCTCTTGTCATTAGCACTGAGGAATGAATGAGAGCAGGGGTCTCCTGTGTCAGGAGCGGGGCCTGCCTCCGGATGGTGCAAAAGGGCAAGAATGGAAAGCTGAGGAGAAGACCTCATCAAATATGCAAGGAACTTTTGCTCCAAAATCCAGCGACTCTTCTGATCAAGACAGGCTATTCCTTGGAGTGGGAGTCAGGCTGAGGAAAGGGATTCAGCCTGATGAAGTTGTGCTTTGTTTCGGCTGGTGTGGAGATTTTTTTTTTTAAAGATTTATTTATTTATTCATACAGAACTGGGGTACAGGCCAGAGATGCGGAGGGTGACAGGATTCACCAGAGACAGAGTGGGGAGCAGAACAGGCAGATCGACGAAGTACACTGCTGAGGGGAGCAGTGGGCGGGTCAGGAGAGGTCTGCCACGCCATGTGGTCACCTCTGGGGCAGGCGGGAATCGAACTCATGCGGAAGTGGCTTTAGATTCTCAGTGCTGTGCTTTAACCCGCTGCGCCACCAGGGAGGGCCTGGTGTGGAGATTTAACAACCAGAAATCTGTACCATCAAATACAAGTTCAATGGTAGTAGTGTATCTTTCCAAGTTTGTATTACTTCTCCAGCTGAGAGCACTCGATGGTCCTCCCCCCGCCCCCTTTTTAATCAGTGATCCATCTCTCTTATGCACGCATCAGATGTGAGTCATCCTCCTGGGGAGGGGTGAGGCCCCTCCAGGTTCGAACACTGACCTATCTGGCCTCTGGGAAGGTTACAGCAAAGTGCGGTCAGCAAGCCCTCGCACTTCTACACTAACAATGCTGAGCAGTTCTGGAAGTGCCCCATTCTCATTTCCTTGCTGGCTGGTTAGGAGTGTGGGTGTGAGTGGAACTGGAGAGCAGGGCCAAAGCCTCTCGACTGACCTCTAGTTCAGAAGCCAGGGCGCTAACTTGCTAGAGGGCTATGGCAAGTCTGGCAATCCTATGTCTGGAACATGGTACAGGCTGTGGTGTGAAGGCAATGAAATAACACACAAAAGTGCTTTGGAAGCCTCAGGAGCCGTGTAAGTGGGACAGAGGTTTTTGTTCTCTTTGTTGTTAGGGGTAGATGAGCTACTGGTCCTTGAACTTGACTGCACTTGAAGAGTCTCAGGCCCCCTTCCCAGAGGCTGCCCCTCCCTTGGTTCTCAGGGTGTCTTGCCTTTCCTCCTTCAGTGCTAGGGGTGTTTCCTTTTGAAGGCGTCGGGTCTCTTCTCCCTGCCTCTCAGATGCTGGGGCTCCAGGGCTTTGTCCTAGGATATCTTCTCTTTCCATCCTCACACCAGGTGCTACTGCCTACACCCAGGACTTCGTCTACTGTTGATACCTCCCAACTGTACAGCTGTGCCCACTGGACTGGTCACAGGACCCTCAAAGTCCAAAATCAAAATCTTGCATTCACGTTTCTTGCTATCTTTCTTGCTGGCCCTATAATCCATCCAGTTACCTAAGCCAGAAAGCTGGGAGCCACCTGAGGCCCTCCCGAGTCCCGTGTCTGGGGCCACTAAGTCCAACCAATTTTACCTTAATTACTTTTCAGCTTTACTTTAGTTCAGCACCTGCCTTCTAGCCCTCCCCCATCGAGTGGCCACTGCTGTCACGGCTTCCAGTTCTCAACAACGCCCTCCCTTCCACCTTCATGAGGACAGTAAAGCTCCAGCTCCTTCTGCAGTCTCAGCTCTGGCAGACCCCCAACGCCAAGCCTAACTTGGATCACAGGCTTCTGCGGGTGGGTGGGATGTGCTGGCAGCTAGGGAAAAGACGTCCTCCATATGTGCATGAACAGATTGTCATGACGGAAATCTAGTAGGTCCTGCACATAGATGAGGTATCTCTTAAATAAAAACATACATGGATACCGTCGGGATTAAAATACACAAGTTCATTAAAAAGTACAGCAATTACACATGTAAATGCCAGTCGACAGTGTTGGGATTACTAAGACATACATTCATTTGAAACTTGCAAATAGAGATTTGGGGAGGAGAGGACATCATGTGCTTTGTTCAAGCAAGAGGTTCTACAAGGACAATTGCCAGCCTGTGGGAGGGCCGTGACATTTGTGGGCCAAACACAAGCACCCTCACTCCTGAAGAGGTCTGCCCCCTGGCTCTAGCGAGACTGATTTCCGTGACTTGGCCTTTGGTCTCTGGTGCTTCTCCTCTGTGAGGCAACTGCCAGGGTCTGCTCAGGCTTTGTCTTCTCTGGGGAAACTTCTCTGACCCACAGGCTAGGTCAGGAGCCCCATCTGTGTGCTCCTTAGTCTCCTAAACAAACACAGGCATAAAACCCTCCCTGGATGATAGAAATTCACTTGCTCCAGTCTCCCTGGGCTACGTGTGGAGAGGAAAGTGGTCATGTCTGTTATCCCAAAATCCTGGGTGCCTAACAAGGTGGCTGGCACAGAGGAGGGACAGAATGTTTTTTGAACCAATGAATACACTGAGCTCCTCAGCATTCTTTCTGATCTTCCTAGGTTGAGTTTCTCCAGGTCCCTGGAGGGTCTCCAGTGTCCTTACAGATTTCATTAACGTGCCAATTACTCTTGGTCTCAGTGGCTCTGCAGATTTTAGATAAAAACTGAATTATCATGATTCTCACAGTCACTCTTTAGATACCTTATCCCAGACTGACATGAGGCTATTGATCATTGCTAGTGTTTTTCACCCTTAGAAAAAGATCTGTTTGACCATCTCTTTGCTAAATCAACATGAATTAATTCTGTGAGACCTTGAGTCCTCATATATTTTTATCTACAAAGTCCCTTCATTATGAAGACAGACCACAGGCTTTGCCACTTCCATTCTCATTTTTCTGCTTAGACTTTTCTGTTAATATTTATCCTGTTGCTCAGTGAATTTCTATCATGCTAACGGTTACCCTAAACTTTCTTTTTGTGGACTAAACTACTTCTAAGGTAGAAACATAATCATGCAAATCATCAAAGTCAGCCACTGCTGAACACAACACAAAAAACTCTATCCAGTGTCTTACGCTGCTGCACTTAGTCCTTGCGACTAGCACCCGAGGCAGGTGCCAGCGCCCCTCTGTGCCAGGCGAGGAAATCCAAGTTGAGCAGGCGTTCAACGCAGCTCAGTTAGGAGTTAAACTCGCCTAAGTCAGTGGGAGAGCTGAGGTCTGAACTGATGCCCTATCTGACCTCCCTTGGGATTGCTGAAGAGCCCTGGGAGGCTCATGGGGCAAGTACTTTATTATTATTGTAACTTTACTATTGAAACAAGGTCAGAGAGCTAAGTGGTCTGGGCAAGGTCACAGAGCTAATAGGTGGCTAAGCTCTGTCTGGAATTCAGGCCTCTGACACCTCTGTCTACTATTTCATAGTAATCTCTGGTTCCAGATGGCATTCTCCAGGACTGTGTTTCTCTCTTCCTTTCTTATCACATTTTCATCCTATATCGAGACCTCCTTGCTCCTTGCTGGCCCGTGACTTTTTAAACCAAATGT